ATGGAAGAGTTAAATCACTAACTGATGCTAAACATATTTGCTCCAATAAAGCATCATGTAGGAATCATGTTTCCTTCTGGAAGGTAGATCAAACCACAACCTAACAACTTAGCCACTGAGTAATAATTATTATAAAAGAATAAAATATTAAATTCCCTAAGCTTGATATTCTTTCCATGCAGAATAAGAATAACGATTCCCACCTTACAGGGCTACTGTAAGGTTAAAAGGTCACTTTGAAAGTTGAACTTTTGGTTATGGGGCTTGGTTTGGTTGGTTTTGGTTTTTGGTTGTTAGTTGTTTTTAGACTTGTTTGTTTGTTTGTTTGTTTGTTTTGCTCCCTATCTGTCCCTTGCTAGGTATCTCCTCATGGTACTTCTCCCTGCTCCTTCCATTCTTTAAAAATAAATCAGCTTAGGGAAATGGCAGTGATGATAGTTTGCTTGAGCAGAACAGAGATCCCATGACATCAGGCTGCTAGGGCTGGGTTAATTTATTACCTATGGCCAGCAAGCAACAATACTGCATTGTAGCACATCTGTCTATGAAGGGGCCCACACTGATACAAAGGACAAGGATCTTTCTTCTTTTGGTCTACAAAGCAGCACTGTGATGCAGCAGTTACCAAACTCCTTTAACAGATGTGGATCTGAGGCTTTGGAAATCCAAATGTCTTCCCAAACCAGATGACAAGACAGAAATTGGCTTTTAGTGTTTCTGAGTCAAGTGTGTGGGACATCTCAACAGTTTCTTTTTCAGGTTCTCAGAGCATTCCCTGAGGCCCAGGTCTACAATGAAATGTCAACTAACACCCGTTTACTTTAGAGGATAGGTTATCAGCTGGTCCCAAGCTTCGTGCTCCCATCCCTGGTTCATTGATCTGGTACCTTGTTCTGTGCTCCGGGGAAGTGACAGTGCCTTGTTACTGCATCAATAGTTGCAGTGAGGCTGTCTCTACTACCTGCACTTTTAATGACTTGGCTATTTTTATCTGTGTTATGTTATTTTTATAAAGGCCATCGTATATCGGGGAAGCCATTTATAAGGCACCAGGAGGGATTATTCGAACCCAGCTTGTTTATCTTTCCATTAGTGGAATCTATAAAGCTGAAAAGAAGGATTCTGAGATAAGAGGGATTTAACTGGGAGCCTATAAAAGCAAGTCTACCAACTTGTCTATCTCTATGCTAGCACAGAAGAGGGAAGTAAGAGAAGCATGTCTCCCCAAGCAATCCTCTACTGGGAGGCTACAGAACCAGCCAATTGCTGTCTTCCCTGCTATGGCATTAAAAAAAATTCCCAAGGTATAGGGGGTACTAATGTTTCATTGCTCTTTGCAAGAAACAGACTCTTAAGGATAGTCCAGCTGGCTGTGAATGCTCAGAATACACTTGTCATTCCCTGGGATGGGATAATTGTGCAGCATGCATGGCAGTCAGTGGTCATTTTGAATAGTTATATGATTTGTCAGCTAATCATTAAAATTTATAAAGTTCAGTGAGATCCATGGGAAAAGAATGGACACACACTTCAACATTAAAATGCTATAAGATAATTGTGCGCTACCCATTTCAGACTTAAGGATGAGAACATTTAAGATTCCCTATAATGCTGGAAGGCTAGGAGATATTCTCCCTCTAACCCCCTCCCCCACCCCCACCCATACACACACACACACACACACACTTTATGTTTTGGGTTTCGTGGTTTGTTTTTTGTTTTTGAGACAAGGTCTTGTTGTATCATGACAGCTGGGCCTCAAATTCACAGAGATCCACCTGCCTCCGATTCCCAGGGATTAAAGGAGTATAGTACAACGCCCTGTGCTTTATGTTATTTTGGTTTAAAAATTTAAGACTATAACCTTAGGAAACAGCTTGTTAACTAGCAATGAAATGATATTGAAAAACACAGCTGCACGCCTAAGAAGAAGGATAGAGTGGTAAGCTACATGATCATTATTAGCTCAAAGCATCCTCAGATACCTGGTTCAGATGCTCTCATTATCCCATCCACAGCCTTCTTGGGAAGTATGTTATTGATCCCACCTTGAGGATAAATAGAACATCTACTCCTGATTTATATGTGTCAGTTCTTTTGAGATGTTGCATTCTTTGCTTTTTGATTCATCTTTAACTTTTGAGACTTAATCATTCCCAAATTAAATGATTTCACAGATGTAGAATGTTTCCATGGATGGCAGAAGATCAGTGCACTGAACATTTTAATCATATGTCTTGAGAAATTAAAAAGTTCCCATAAATAGAGAAGCTAAGAAAATGATCTGATACAAAATAAATATAACCAGAAATCCCAGTGCTTTATGCTGAGCATATAGGTACACGTGATTTACAGGTCTTCGAATGTGAGTGGGAAGGACAGGAGTCAGGCGATTGAGTCAAACACAAAATTCACATGGTTGTCATTTCCCATCCACCTTAAAATTGGCTATGAAACACCCTAATACATGGACCGTGTTACTTTGCTTTTAAGTGACACGTAGTAGTTTTTTTCATAGTTGTGACTACAATGTAACATGTTGATATATGTACTTAAATGTCCCATTTAAGTAGTGACATGGGAAGATTCTAAAGAGCTACTATTGGTTGACCAAAGCTTCCATAGTAAACTGGCTTGAATTAGAGTGCTTAAACAGAAGAAATTTATTCTCTGTGCCTCAAACTGTGATAGGTTTGGTTTCTCCCAAGAAAACTCCTTAGCTTGCACATATATATGTATTTGCACTAAGGTCTCATTGTATAGCTCAACTGGCCTCAAACTCTAGCTCCTGCCTCTACCTCTGAAATGCTGAACAGCAGGTCTGTCCCACCGTGCCCAGTACCAATGTCCTTTCCGATGCATAGTCTCACTTTATTATTCCAAGGTGCTATCTCTACGTAAGCTCACATTCTAAGGTTTGGGGTTAGGGCTTCCAAGCATTGATTTGGAGGGAGGAATCATAATGTAGCCCATGTCAGATGCCTGTATTCACAAAAGCAGTTTGTGCTTTCAGAACAGAAAACATGCTCTCACTCCAATAGCATGAACCTGGGAGGTCAACAATGCTTTTTCACTCGCAGAATTTTCTATCAATTCACTTGACTCAAGTTCTTCACCTAAATATGTCACAAAATGATTTTGTGCACCCATCAGAGCTTTCTCCTGCATCTTCTACAATCAAACTATGTATGTAGTAATTGTAACCGTGTGCTCATGGAAGAACAGTGCATTGCTTCTTCTCTATTCCTGTATGGCCAAGAGCAAACCCAGGCATTCCATTTCCATGTTTCATGAGAATCTCTCTCTGCTTCAAGTTTGAGTGTGCTTAAGGCAGTGGTCCTCAATTTTTCTAATGCTTCGTAAACATAGTCCTTCATGTTGTGGTGATCCACCAACCATAAAATTACTTCATTACTACTTCATAACTGTAATTTTGCTATTATAAATTATAAATATCTGATATGCAGAATAGCTGATAAGTAACTCCCACTGGTGTAAGGGGTTTTACATGTTTCTTTTTGCCCCAGATGGCTTTACCCTGGACTGTGTCACAAAGACCATAGGCATTTGCTCAGTGCAGGAGTTCTCAGTTCATACAGTCAGCTAGAGAGCTGCCAGCCCCACCTGCTGCCAGTACATTAGTTGGAACAAAGTAAAGTTAATTCTGGCTGGTGTTGGAAGAAGTAAAAAAATGGGCAAGGAGCTCCTTTTAAAAATCATCACAAAACACATGACCATCACTTTTCTATCACTTTAATAAAAGTGACATTCATTATCATAATTTGAAAACACATTATTTTTGCTTAAGGTAGATTGCATGTATACTATTGCTACATTACCTATTAATGAAATGTGTCTTAGGTTACTTTCATTTTTATTATTTAGAAGTAGTAACTTCCTGGTCTTTTCAACTAGCAAGCCTTCTGCATTAATTTGTGTATTCAACTGTGATTTAACTGAATAACTTGTGATCTTTGTCTATATATCATGTAATTACATGGATATAAAATCAGTAGAAATCTATGAATGCATTCCTTCAGTTAATATGCACTTAGTCATCTAAGTGGTGGAGATGATGGGACCAAATGCTAGAGAGACAAAATACATAAATGGCTCACAGTCAACTGAAGAAGAGAGGATATCAAATAGGCCTAATTTTAGATAAAGCAACAGCTTCAAAAGTTGAGCGTGCAGTCAAATCACACGGAGGGTATACAAACCCAGATTTCTTGTCACATTCAATTAGATTGAGAATTTGCATTTCTAGTAAGTTCCCTGTTATTGTTGCTTGGAGAACACACTGAGAACAATTCATTCAGAGTTTTAAGTGTCTGGAGCCATAGAAGCTTTGAAGAGGAGTGAGGCATTCCAAAGGATAAGTGGAGAAGGTGGCGGATGGAGGACTAAGAATATGGGGAACAATGTTAACTCTAAAGCTAGAGAAAGTGCAGGTAAAATGCTATATGACTAAGACACCCTGTGAAATCTTGACCTAAAGGAGGTGAATCTAGAGTGGTATAAACAGCCCATTGCTGTGCTAAGGAACCTTGATTGAATATCACCCTGTGGGAGTCGTTCAACTATCAATTAGACTTTAAGCTAAAAGATAAGAACGCCAGTAGAACTTTGTCCAAATTCCAGGGAGAAAGTTCTCTCTCAGTTTTCCAGCTTTTGGTAAGAAATTGTATTCATCACACTGGTGACAAACCCCACTGGGATGAGATATGATCATTGTGTAAGTATTGACTATGTGGTAGTGGGTATTGATTAAATGTCAGCTTTTGTCACTGACCACTGAGCTATATCAGTTTGGTCTCTGAGTACCATGACAAATAATTGGCTCATGGTGATTGACTTTTAGAAATCCTTAAGCTTTATTGACTTCTTATGGCCTCTGTTCCCTCAGAGGAGTGTGACAATGGGCTAGATTCTGGCCTACCTAGTGTGGAAGAAGACCCTGGTAGCTGGCTCTTAATGAAATATGCTTTGTTCTTTTCCAGGGGAAGATGACGACGATGATGAATGTGGGGAGGAGAAGCTACCCTCCTGTTTTGATTACGTGATGCACTTTCTCACAGTGTTCTGGAAGGTTCTGTTTGCCTTCGTCCCACCTACAGAATACTGGAATGGCTGGGCCTGCTTCATTGTCTCCATCCTCATGATTGGCCTACTGACAGCCTTCATTGGAGATCTGGCTTCCCACTTTGGCTGCACCATTGGTCTGAAAGATTCTGTGACTGCAGTTGTGTTTGTCGCCCTTGGAACCTCAGTACCAGGTAAAGAGTGATTCATATGTAACTCCCCCAAAAGAAAAAAGCACACACACACGCACATGCACACGCACATGCAAATACCATTTATTTTATTATATGTTGGCATGGGACATACCCATCAGTTATCAATTGCACATAGTTTCTTGGTTAGAAGTGGGAGTTTGTGGCATCCTCCCCTGTTCAGTGCTGATACGTGGTCTGGTTTGAACCTGTGATGAGTTTTATGTATGCTGTCACACTCTGAGTTCACATGTGTATCAGTATTGTTCTGTTTGGAAGACTCTGAATCCTTGGAGTCATCCACCAACTCTGGCTCTTATAATCTTCCCACCTCCTCTTCTACATAAATCCTTGAGTCTGGAAAGGAAAGTTTTGATGAAGATGTCCATTCAGTGTTGAGTGCTCCAAAGTCTCTCATCCACTCCACCTTGTCCAGTTGTGAATCCCTTTGCTAATTACCATCCACTGCTCTGATGGGGCATAAGCAATATTCTGCTCTCTGAGTATAGTAATAAGATAATTTTTTTAAGTTTCCTGATTGTGAGAAATTTTAGTCCTCAGTCCTCTCTTCTCTTCTCATAGGTCAGGACTTGCCCCCTTCTCCCCAAATTCCCCATCTTATTGATCCAAAGCTTGAGACTGCTTCCTCGTTCATGGGTCACACAACATACTAGCTTCAGCTCTTCAGCTCTGCATTCTGAGACAAGCCACCAGCTAAGAGAAAGTAGGATCACAGTGCCAATTACTTACCTATAGCTTTGATAAAGTTCAACCACACCTCATACCAAAACTGGACCATAACAATTGACTTCTTACTAGGTGAATCTAATGAAACCATCAGTTGTTGTATGTAGAAAGCTCCTATGTTTTATTATAATATTGAATCTATATCATGCTCCCTAAATAAGATATTCACAGAACTCAGACGAGCACTTTTGAACTCTTAGGTAAACTGTGTTGTCTCTCAAAGTCCAAAACATCACATCCCACTGTTTCTGTGGAAAAGAAAGCTCCAGATTTAAGGAGAAAACATGAGGATAAACACTTGGAACCAGACTTTTGAAAAAAGAGAAGCCTCCTCTGATTGGACATTCATTTTAGCTCACAGTAATTTATTTGGATAAATCCAATCTGTGGGGATAAATCCAATCCATTCTCTTCATCTGCTGGACTCTAGATATGGGATTTCCTATATCTAGACTCTTGTTTACATTGGATTCAGAAAGAAACCATTCTGTAGTGACAAGGGACTCTCTTAGACATTGAGCAGCTGTGAGCATTTTCTGCCACCCAACAAAGTCTGGCCTTGGTCTTTCTCCATTGTCTCAACTGGTCTGCACTTGATACCTGCCCACTGTCCCTTGAGCTTTCCTCTGCCAGATGCTCACCAGAAGCCAGAAAAAAAATTAAAACATAAATATTCCATACTGTCTTTTAGCCCCTGGCACTGTAAGATTTTTCTATTCCCTTTAGTGCTCTGGTTATCCTTTTATCCTTTGAAATATGCCATGTAGGAATTATTTCCCTCTGGAGGTTTTTAAGATATGAAAGGAAACACAATTCTGGATGGTTTTGAACTTTTTCTTTCAATGTATATATAGAAAATTCACAAACAAAAGTTCTTATCTTGGGGAAGCTTATATCATTTTTGAATTTTAAATACCAGAAAAGAATTTGAGATAAAGCTTCCACCATTTTCTTTTTTCTGTGCCACTGATGTGCACTCAGGAGCATAGCTCAGGTGTCTGAACTTGTATTCTTCATTCACAGTGTGGGTCTAAGTGACTTATTGACTCTCTGAGCCTGTTCTTCTGCCTGAAAATAATGGGCATTTATACTTATGGCAGTTCAAACAGAATTAGTTAGGGGATTTAATAATATGTTCTGCACATTAATATAAGATGCTGGGATTAATTATCTCAGATTTTACACTAAGATCAATTCTAAGCAAAGTCAAAAGGATTGGAGAATATGATGATGGGTAGAAAGAAGTCATGAGCAAGAGAGGAAACCTTGCAGGTGACCATAAAGCTCTAGCGTGTGCTAGGTATGTGCGCTATATTCACATTGCCTATTATTTACATTTTTAAATGATATGGTGTTGGTTTTTTGCAACCTCAGTCTGTGTATTTTGTCCCTTATACCCTGCTCCAAAAGGTGAGATGATTCCTTTTGTTTAGTTTTTCCCTACACTAAAATTCAAACTATTTTTATATTACTTTTATTACAAAAATTATTCATTATTAATGGTTTATGTTTCAGTTTTTCATTTCCCAGCTTCTTGTAGCTCCCAAGGCTAACACACTCTATATTGTGTTTAAGTAGGAAGCATTTTACAGTTTTCCACACCATGCTGCCTTGTTTCTCATTGGGCCTTAAGATAGCTGGCATGTAGCAGAAGTCATACTGATAACTCAAGGAGAGGCAAATCTCAATGTCACCCTTGGAAATGTATGATACCACATCTAGGGATAGAGACAGTGGTGGCTCTGTCTCCACAGCTCACAAGAGAGTGAACACTAAGTCTCTCTGGTGTTTCACCAAGTTAAGAGAATAAATTATTTGTCTACACTTAGTTTAAGTTCAGACGGATGGAATTTGTGTAATTTGTAATACAGTTTCTAGCCATTCTGCTCTGCCATTTTAAACATATATTTAAAGTACTATATGAATGCTTCCCCATATGCCTTCCAATTTTCTTGAAATTATTCATATCTCTCTGCATCAGTTTTGACATTTTTCACTTTCAAAGCGTCTCATACTGTGGCTATATGCAAACTCTGATCCTGGGCTCTTACTCACCTTAGAATAAAAATTAGATAGTAAGCTTTAAGTTTCAAACAATTTCAGAAATTAGTAAAAACTTGCCTTTATCATTCTACACTCATTATTTCATACGTAAAATCTTTAAAGCTTAGTCTACTGGAAATATTCAGCTCTGAAATAGCTAGCAATAAATGAAATGCCAAGACAGTTCTCGTCAGCACAGACATGCGTGGCTGATGCATGTGAACAGGAGATTTGGTGATTGCAAGGCTAGGTCCAGCTGCCTGTAGCACACAGCTGCCGAGGTGTGGGTAGGTGGAGTCTGGAGAAAGTACATTCCGGATGTTCTCCCAACAGACAAAAGAAGGATTACTGTTAGCTTTGGAAGTCAATCTCCAGGAGAATGAGAGGGAACCTCTGTCCAAGGATTTGTCAAGAAACATGCTCACCCCACCCCTCTCTTAAGCACAAAGGTAGGGTCAGAAGGGGACAGGACAACTTCCAACCCAAGCAAGCACTTCTAGGTGGGGAAATTCTATCCAGCTATTCTGAATCAGCTGTCATCTGAGCTCCAAAAAGAACAGCAAGGAACTGCATTGGCTCAGCTTCTTCTCACTTTTTCTCATCCACGAAGACCTGATGTTATTGGTTCAGAGCTCACAGGCAGAGAGGTAAATGCTTCACGGACTTCAGCTTCCGAAAGACTGTATAGCCTTCTCTCAGTAATCAGGTTATAGAAGCACATGCATTGAGACAATAGAAAAGAACATAGGCATTCAAGCCAGGCACGACAGGGTGTAAACCATCCGACCCCCTTCTGCATACCGCTGTGCATGACATGCTGTGGAGGCACATTGTCTAACACCTGCAAGCCTTGGGTTCTTGGCCTGACTCATGCAAAATAAAAATCTCGCTGCAATAGGAAGGTGGTTGAGCAATTAAACTGCTTGTCCTCAAAGCATGAGGGTGAGGATTAGAATTAGGAGTCCCAGAGCCACCTAAAAGCTGGGTAGACATGGCTGCCTAGCTGTAATTCCAGCATTCAAAAGGTAGAAACAGGAGAATCCTGGAGCGAGCTGGCTACCAAGGCTAGTCCTGTCAGCAAGCTCAGGGTTCAGTGAGAAACTGACTCAGTGAATAAGACAGACCCATTGAGGAAGACTTTTGACATGAACATTAGGTCTCTACATGCATGTAGCTGTATATATGTGAGCCCACATACTTACACATACCCAGGCATGAAGAAATGCACGAGGGGTGGGGAAAGGATTGAAAACATATCTCATAGTACTGCAGTGAAAACCACTTTTCTTTAAAGTACCTGGCAGCAGGCGAAGCATAAAGTAGATCCTAAAGGAAATGTTATATCTCCTTTTTCTTCTATTTCAATCTGCTAATTAAAATGTTTAGTCCTCTGAGGAATTTAGCCCAAGTGTACCTATTAAAGCATGGGTAGCTACATAAATTCTTGGCCATTGATATATGATGCTGGGGGGTTGGTGGGTGGATATCCTTAATAGCTTTGTTTCCAGCAACTGTATTACATCTTCTTCAGTGCCAGCCTGCGAACATTGGCCCTTCAAGTCAGACACTCACAATATTCAAGGGGCGCCACTCTACAGCATGTATGCATGTCTAGTTAAGTGGTAAACATTTTCTATCATCCCAAACTGTCTACCCAGAGCCAAGATTCCCCAGTGCCTCTGGTGTCCATTCCTCAAAGAGGCTGCCTCAGGGCTGGAATGTTTTGTCTTCTGATACTCTAACGTTAGACAGCCAGTTTCTTCACTACCAAGAAAGGTCATAGCTACTAAAACAGGACTGTCAGACCCACAGTCAGGCTGGAGGCAAGGCCACTGAGGGACCGTGCCAGGGAAGCAGCCCCGGGCAGCATTAGTCACTTCAGTGGCTTTCCTGCAGACCCCATCTTAACCCTACTGTAGCCGGGAGCCATCTGAGGGTTAAGTGGTCAGTACTCACCAGTGCAGTCGCCTGCAGTTAGGTGATGTTAACTGAAGTTGAAAGAAGGGTACAAGAGCAATTCTTGACAAGGATAGTGAAGTAAAAGAGGGCTGGATATCAGATTTCATAAGACTTCTGGAACCAACACCACAGCTCCTGATTGGTCTAAACCAAAACACTTCACAAAAGAGGTGATGCAAAGAGCCCAAAACACTTGCAAGAACCTGGGAGATCCATTTCAAAATGTCCAGCAGCTTTTATTCTTTCTGATCAGA